GTATGTATGTTTATGCGCGTATATATATATATATATATATATATATTATCTTTGTACGTATGTATGTATGTATGTATATATGTATGTATGTATATATATATATGTGGTTCTCACATATTTAATGCTGTAGGGGCTAGTGCGAACACGTATACCTGCAAATATAGTGGCACTGTGTCCGTATGCGTGTCGTGTACAAAGTTAAAACATGTACATGTATCTGTACTCTTCCTTTCTCTGACTGTCGAATATGTGTATGTGCATGCGACTTCCTTTATGATAAATGTTGTTAGAATTTACACATATGTGTACGCTGTACATTTGAGTTTACGAATAAAATTCTGACACTCATACCGACGCATGTGTATGTGTAAGATATTATTTGCGATACATGGGTCTAGTTAACTATCTTAGAAACAGATTACGTATCTAACCCGTTTCCCAGTTTGCTATGTTGTGAGTCTGAATTCAATAGAACGACAAAAAGTGCTATACACAACCATATAACGCCGAATTCGCCTTTTATCATATTTATTTGCATGTATGTTCGATCATGTATGTATATCGAATTGTATACAAAAATTTTCTCTATATTTCACTCATACTAGTACGCAGTTTCGGCGCACATCAACATCTGACACGCCATGCTTTGTGAATTATAATCGTAATCGCAGGAGGAGGAAGCGGCTGCAGCGAAGGTGTTTGAGGAGTTTGTGGAGAACTTTCAACAAGAGGAGAATGACGGCTATACTAGCAAAACCTTTGTGCGTGGTAGCACCATCAATCCTTCAGGTTGGTTACAATGGCTTGGGCTTGATTCGTGGCCATAGGAAATCAGCGGGGGTTTGTTGCGTTAGGGATTTCAGCTGTACTATAATTCAATTTGTGTTGCTGTGTATCTATTAGTAGTAGCTTTGTGTATGGTGACACCATCAATCCCTTTAGGTGTTCTAGGGTGTAGGGTTTACGGTTTTGAGATGTGGGTTCGATTGGTGATCGCAGGTGGAGTTTGGATGGGGTTGGTTACGTTGTACTGGTATCAGCTGTGCTAGGGCATGGGTTGCGTGAGAGTGTTTAGTATCTTACTCCTCTAGAATCTTTGTGCGGTATTAGTCCAATAGGTTCAATTATTTGTCATGTTAGGGGCAGAACGATCGACATTGCAGGTTTAAACCCCCCTTCATAAGATACAAAGGATTGATACTGATCAACTATCACTCTATGTATAGGGTTCCTAATAGAGTTTACAACGTATTCGATATGGCTCTATTTTAAGGGTTTTTGACTGATAAATCGTTTACCCAAAATGTGCGTAAACAATGACATTATATTGAAAAATCTCACAATACTTTGCATCCGTGATCGATACGACTTCCCAGCGGTGTACAATCCTAACGAAGGGGCCAGCAGTCAGGATCAAGCACCATCGTTTTACACACTGAAATCAGCTAAGCCCGTCGCTCAGGTGGGTTTATTGTCGATAAAGTGTATATATATATATATACATATATATATCCGTGTCTGTGTCTGTGTCTGTGTCTGTGAGAGAGTGTGTGCGTGTATTCATGTATGTGCGCGTATATGTGCCTCCGTGTGTGTTCATGTGTGAGCGCCTATATGTGCCTCTGTGTTTGTGTGTGTGTGTGTGTCCGTGTACTAATTTTGATTTTATACATGTGTAATAGTCGCATGCATGTATGAGTATGTGTATGTGTAGTTTTGTGTATTTTTTTTACATTTAAGATCAAATATCCCCGTTCTACATGTTAACTAACTAAGCTCATTGCATATATGAATGTAGTAATCCTTGACGTCGCGTGTACACATAATTATTTGTGTGAACTTGTGAATAGTGCTGAAATTTATGTGCACGTATGTATACGTGTGCGTGCATGCTTGTGGGTGCGTATGAATGTATTTTGTATTTAAGTGTGGAACGTATTCGTGCGTCTGTACCATGTACAGATTCACAGATGTTTTGAGTCGTCATGTCTTGGGTATCGTGAAAGATTGACCCGTGTGTTCATCCTTCATCAGCTCATATTTGTAGCAATATATATATGTGGGTGGGTGTGGGTGTGGGTGTGGGTGGGTGGGTGTGCGTGTGTACGTATATACGTTTATACATATACATATTTATGTATATATATAAGTGTGTGTGTGTGCGTGTGTCAAAAATGCTGAAATGTATATTTGTATGTTTGAACATGCGTGAGCGTGCGCCTATTAATTTGATTTCAGGCTTCTAGATACAATTCTCCTTTTTTTTGTTTGCAGTCAAGTCCTCCTTTAGAACAATATCTGTTCTTTAATATACACATATACGTATAGTGTATTTGTCATATGATTGCACATCAAATTCGCCTCACACTGGCAATAACAGAAGTCTTCGGTTTATATTTTGCTGTGCATATATACGTGTAGATCATTTCTTTTTCTTTTTATAATATAACGTGCATTTCCTCGTTTTCGAAATAGCTTAGGTTCTTTAAATTATATACAATTCCTCATTTGCTATATAATTTGGGCAAAAAAAATCTTATAATATTACCAATTGCTCATTTTCATACATTTCGGGCGATTTTTTTTATTATGTAATTTGGGCAGACTTCCTAATTTACTTATAATATGCACAATTCCTTTATTTTTATATAGTCTGTGCACTCCCTCATTCACGATACGATTGAAACCATTACAGGAGCCCAAACCTCCCACACGCCCGACCACTGGCAAGAAGTCAAAGGAGCCAAAGAAGCTGAGCAACCTGGAAATGTTCAAGGAACAACTCAAGAAGTATGTATTTATCTTTGTGCGTGATTGGTTTATTCGTGTGTGTACTTACTTTGATTGTCGTAGAACCTGGGCAACCGGAAAAAGTTCAAGGGACAACTTTAAAGACTGTGCCGTTTTCGTTGTGCGTTACTTGTTTGCTCTTGTGTGACTAGAAGGTGAGCAATCTGGTAATGTTCAATGAACCACTCAAGAAGTATGTTGTATGTGCGTGGTGATTGCTTCGTTCTTGCGAGTATAAACTTCGTGCGTTCATGTCTACACCTGAATTGATTGTTCGTGTATGTACGTGATTTAATTATCCCTGTTTGCTCATAATTTGGCAGCATTCTTTGCTGAATGGTTTGCCCATGTCCTTGTATACTTAAACTTTCTTACAGAGTTTCTATCGCTGTGTATGCACGTGATGTTTTTTGCTCTTATTTGCATATTATTTACTTGTATATGTGTATTTCGGTTAGTTAAATTTCATGAACATACCGCATATTTTTATAAACATTCTCACTAATTCGATGCTCATCCTGCCTATGTGAACATACAGACTGATTCGATTATCATACCGTCTAATTCTGTGAACATATTGTCTTATTTTATGAATGTGCTATCTAATTCTATGATCATACTGTCAAATTTTACGATCATACTGTCTAATTCTATTAACATACTCTCTAGTTTGTGAACATACTGTCGAATAATTACATGATCATTCTGCCTAATTTTATGATCATACTGTCTAATTTACCATCATTCTCTAATTCTTTGAACAAATTGTCTAATTTTGTGAACATACTGTCTAATTGTATGATCATATTGTATAATTGCATGATCATACTGTCTAATTTTGTGAACATTTCTTATCCAATTCTATGAAAATACTGTCTAATTTACCATCATACTCTAATTCTTTGAACAAATTGTCTAATTTTGTGAACATACTGTCTAATTGTATGATCATATTGTATAATTGCATGATCATACTGTCTAATTTTGTGAACATTTCTTATCCAATTCTCTGAAAATACTGTCTAATTTGGTGAATGTACTGATTATTTTCAGGAGCATACTACTGACTTTATAAGAGACTATTTATTTTCGTAAAAACCCAATATATTTTCATAAACACTGCTTCTCTCGACTTCTTCAGAGAACAAGAAGAACGAGAACTGCGCAAGGCGATGCGGGCTGGCGACCCCAATGCACCCAAACTTGGGCCTTCAGGACCTCCTTTGGACAGTATGTTATTGGTGATATATATGTATATATTTATATACTTTTATGTTTTAAAATTCGTATGTGAAACAAGTATACTATATGTTATTGGATAGATGGAACTGGTGATATGTATTGATATATTTATATATTTGTACATTGTATATGATAAGATTTGCATGTAAGTCAAGTGTACTATGTGAATTTGGGTAATATGCTACTGGTGATATATATAGATATATGTATAGAAGTATATAGTTTTATATGGTAACATTCGTATGTGAGATAAGTGTGCTATATGTAATAAAATAGTATGTTGGTGCCATACATGTAGTAGGAGTCGTTTTAAAATAATGCACGGTATGTTATTGTATATCATCTAACTGGTGCGATTTATATGTTAAGATTCGTATTCGAAACAGTTGCAATATGTGTATCTGGTGTCATAAATCTGATGGGTGCCATATATGTATATGTGACGAGGCCTCTGTGTATATTAAGCGCGAAACATGTAGCAGTTGCTGTATAGATATTATTATTGTTGTTAGTGTTATTGTTATTATTATTAGTAGTAGTGTTGTTGTTGTTGTTGTTGTTGTTGTTGTTGTTGTTGTTGTTGTTGTTGTTGTTGTTGTTGTTGTTGTTGTTGTTGTTGTTGTTGTTGTTGTTGTTGTTGTTGTTGTTGTTGTTGTTGTTATTATTGGCACCGCCAACTGTCTTTTATTATTTTTATATATATTATATATTATATAAATGTTATTTGTGTCGTGTATATGACCGGTATTTTATGTATGCCTGGTGTCATATATGTCGTAAGCGACATATCTGACACGAGTCTCAAACATTGACTCTATAGTTGACATCTATTGTTTAGTAGTGGTATGGCGTGTGTTTGCCCTGCGTTTATGTATGTACCAAACAGAATTGAACAGAACGCAACAGTTTCGCTACATATCGTGTATAGGTATTTACTTCCTTGTAAGCAGTCATCGGGTATGTGTATATACTTGTTTTGCGTCATTGTGTAGTCAATCTATATTGTGTTTATAACAGGTATTGTTTAGTCTTGGGATTCTAGGGTTTAGTGTTTACTTCTGTTCGGTACACTCTTATCGCCGCAGGTATATATGGTCGACCAGAGGAGAAGCCCGGCTCCAGGGCTGATGGGGACATGTCCACGACCAACATCTACGTGGGCAACTTGGCTGCAACTGTATGTACAGTTACTCGCGTGCACATCTAGAAATAGAGTTATTACAGACATATGTTGTGTATTTGCACGATCTGTATATACGTGGTCAAATTACCTGCTACTGTATGTATAATTGTAATTCCTGCAACCGATATCTACATGGGCAATTTATCTACCGCTGTACCTGCATCAGCGCGCACTCCAATCTCTATATATATATATCTATCTATCTATCTATATATCTATCTATATATATATATATGTGTGTGTGTGTGTGTGTGTATATGTATATATATATATATATATATATACTCACACGATATACATGATTCTACAATTGTATTTATTCATACGAAGTTCGCAAACACATGTACAATTAATAGGCAAATGAGGAGATGTTGTGCCGGATATTTGGCAAGTATGGTCCACTGGCGTCTGTGAAGATCATGTGGCCCATGACTCCTGAGGAGAGAGCTAGGGGACGTAATCCTGCATTTGTTGCGTTTATGAACAGGGAAGATGCTATGGATGCCATGCATGCCCTGAATAGTATGTCAGAAAAATACACATTAATTAAGTTTGTATTTAGATATATTTACTATACATGTATAACCATGTTTGGCAACCAGTATTTATGTGGCTTTCGCGATTAGGGAAGACACCATGCATGTCATGCATGCTTGTAACAATATATCCATGCTTGTAACAATATATCTTGTATTTTTATGCTGTGGGTACTTCAAATATTAATACTTGCAAACCATGGAATACGACTTTATGGTATTTTCTACTTGGTTTGCTCCGTGCATTCGTTTATATTTTTGATATGCAGGTACTTCAGGCATATATTGCGTTTATGCATAGGGATGGATTTTTTACCTGCCATGCACTCCTTTAGATTCATGTCTGCATTTGGCATTCGAGTAATATAAATTCAGTACACGCTGATGAGAAAAATTAAATATATATTTAAATATTTCTATTTATA